AAAATAAGCTAAAACTTTTTAAATAGTCAAGCACTAAAATAAACAAATTTAGATCTTCAACTGGGCCTCTCCGCCCGAGAAGCGCTTCCGGCAAAACGACCGACTCGAGGCGTTGGCCTGCAAGAAGGCGTTCAAGTACGCGCTGCACTTCGCCGGCGACGAGTACTACAAGGAGATGCTGTCCAACTACGCGGCAAGGTGTTTCCACGAGCTCGGCGAGGTCAGTTTTGGCCTGAGGTTTCCTAAAAGATCTTTGCTAGCCTGCCTGGGGTCGGGGTATTAGGGCAACAGTTTTTGGGTTATTTTAAAGGAACTTGGAAGCGCGAAAATCGACTCCAGGTAGCCACTAGGTCTCGACGGCCACGCGACACTCCAAAACCTAAGTAAAACGATTTTTGGGGAACTTTCTGGCCTCGAGGCTTTGCCTTGGGCGTAGGCTTCGGCTTGCGCACGTCAAACTGCAGCTACACTCACAGCATTAGCCTCTGTCTACACCTAGCCGTCACAAGGGGTCGATACCTGACTTCCCAATCCCTTTAAAACTCCAAAAATTCAGGAGCGCCTCCCCAGCGGAGCATTCTCGACGAAACAACTCGTCACGTCCGGTGCCCCCTACTACTTCATGCTCCTCGGGCTGATGAGCTCGCATTCCGTCGGCCTGGAGACGCTCAACACGATCGGCATCTTCCAGAGGTATTATTTAATTTTGTTTATTCATTACTTATGCACAAAAGGTACGCAAAACAAGCACCAAAAATTGAAAAAACAATGATTTCAAAAATATGGGAAATTCAGGGGGAGCAGTTGAAGGCACCGGTATTCGAAGTGGGGGGCAGGGCGTGGTAGCCAAAGTTCTGCGTGGGGTTTTTAATATTGCAGCTAGGAGGGTGGGTTGCACAGTTTTGTGAATTTAACTACGTTAAAGACACAGTTAAGATGTTTAAAGGGTTAGGAAATATGAGAATCGACCCACTAGGTTGGCTAGGTCTAGACAGTTGCACATTAAGACATGCAAAAAAGGCTCCTAGGCTTGAGAATAGGCTTAGGCTTAGGCATAAGCATTCTTGGGCTTAGGCTTGGGTTTAGGTTTAGGCTTAGGCTTAAGCTTAGGCTTCGACTTTGTTAGACAGCTACGCGATGCGTCAAATGCCGTATTCAACGTCTTTTTAGTGTCATAAAAAATGCCTAGCCGCGTCATCTTTGCTTCTCGTACTTGACTAGACCTAACATAACCAGGGTCGATTCTCACGCTTCTTAACCCATTTAAAATCATAAAACAGTTATTTTAAAGATCTGACACTACGAAAATTGTTCTTCTACGGGTTCTGGGAGACGTAGAAGCATTGCTGGATGAAGGACAACTTGGCGAGACACTTGTACTTCTCCGAGAGGAGCCCGCCTTCCGGGAGACCACCGGCCGGGTTGCAATAGGGCCGGCAGTGCTCGAAGCCGGGTTCGAAGACGTTGTACGCTTGGCAGCACTGGGTGACGTCCTTATAGCCGGAGGCGCAGATCATGATGTCGCGCACTTTTTGGAGGGGGCAGCGGCCAGTCAGGACGGCGAGTTGCATCTGTAGAGGAGGGAAGTTAGATACTTAGGCGCACATTCTAGGATTCGGATGGGGGCTTAGGAAAGCTTAGGCATAATAGAAAACTCTTGCTCACCGTAGCCAAGTTAGCGTCGTAGTTGCACATCGACTGGCACCCTTCACCAAGTCGCGCGCAGCAGTTGGAGAATCGCTGGTTCGCCACCTCCTTTGTAATGCACGGCTGCCATCCGGGCTGGCGGGGGCACTAAAGGGATGTTCAAGTCGGGTGCTTAAGCTTGAGCTTGGACTTGGCTCCGTCTAAGTTTAGGCTTACCTGTCCCATCTCAGCCCCTTTGGACTGGGCTGCCTCGGCTCCGGCATAGAAGGGTTTTTCAAAAGTTTGAGGGGCTGAGTCGATCGAGCGGGCCACAACGGTCTGAAAATGTTAGGGTAGAGAGAGAGGGAGAGAGCGAGAGAGAGAGGAGAGAGAGAGCGAGAGACTGAGAGAGAGACCTAAAAAACATCCCCACCTGTGGCTGATTCGAGGCGTAATTTTGCTGCTGAGGCTGCTGGGGTTGTTGGCCTTGTTGAACTTGTTGGATGGTGTTGGTCGCTACCTGCGCTTGCACCTGAAAAATTATCGTGAGCTCTCTCTCTCTCTCTCTCTCTCTCTCGCTCTGTCTCACTCTCTCGCGTTCTCGCACTCTTTCTCTCGCTCTTCTCTCTTTATCTCTCTCTCTCTCTCTCTCTCTCTCTCGCTCTCGGACACTTTCGCTCCCGTCAAGCCAAGCCAATTCCGCAATTTTTCTACCGTACCTGCTGCCCGAATCCGGGGTACTGCTGCTGGGGCTGGAGGCCGTAGGGGGACTGCTGTTGTTGCCCGAAGTAGGGTTGCTAAAGAGGCGCGTTCTAGCCAGGTTGACGATCTTCTAAGTGACACCACCGCTTTAAAGGGATGGGCAAGGCATGGTTACGATTCACTACGAATTTTTCTACGGCTTGCTACATGAAAGGAGTACGCGCGCTTGAACGGCTTGGAAACGTCGGCAAAATCGCTACGAAATCCATAAATAAAAATTGCCCGTCCTCTTAGTTTTTAATTAACTTGACAATCAAACCCACCTGTCCCTGTTGCTGCTGTCCCGCCGGCACCGGGGCCGGAGTCGTGAAAAACGGATGGGGCGGGAAGGTGGGCAGGTTGAAGGGGTTGGACTGGTCGGGGACGGGGAGGCCGAGCTGCTGGAGGAAGGGTTGGAAGGGGTTGAACATGGCACTCGTTGGGGCCGGGGTGACGCCAGGTTGTTGTTGGAGACCCAGCTGAGATTGGACGCCGACGGGGCCAAGGGGGTCGGGGGCTTGTTGGGCCTGGGGGACCTGGCTGTAGAGGCCGTTGGTCATCAACCGTTGTTGCTCGGAGAGCTGCACGTTGAGTTCTTCTGCGGATGGCATACGGACTAGGGGGGCCAAGGTTACGGCTTGTTCACGGGAGGGGGTGACATCAGGTGGGGGTGGCGGGGCGGTGACGACTACAGCTTGATATTGTTGCTGTTGTTGTTGTTGCTGGGGGAGATATTGGGGTTGTACTTGTTGCTGCGGCTGTTGGAATTGGAAGGGTTGCTGGAGTTGGAATTGTTGTTGGGGGTACTGTTGTTGCTGGGTGTTGTAGGTCGGGAACTGAACGGCTTGCTGTTGTTGTTGTTGGGCAAGAGGTGGGGCCACTTGGGTCGAGAGGATTGGCGCAACCTAGAATTTTATACATGGTTGTAGTTTTTATGAGTTCTGAGTTTGTAAAGGGGCTGGGAAGCGGAGGATTAAGAGAGAGGGAGAAAGAGCGGGAGAGAAAGAGAGAGAGAGATAGAGAGAGAGAGAGAGAGAGAGAGAGAGAGAAAGAGAGGGAGAGAGGGAGAGAGATGGATCTCCTCTAATCACCAACCTGAGCATTAGGTGCCGCAAACTGCTGTGGCAGGAAGTTCTGCTGTGTCTGAGGCCTAGGGGGCGTCTGTAGCTGAGCAATCTGCTGTTGTTGTTGCTGGGGTGGCTGCTGAGGCAAGAAAGTGGGCTGCTGCTCGGCTTCCTTCTTATTCCGGTTGGGCTGAGGCGCGAAGCCGGTGGGGCCCTAAATATTGGAGTTTATAGGAGAACAATTTAAAGAACGATTTTTTAGGGAACAGCGGCAGGCGTACGGTAGAATTTAGTGCGTAATGTAGTTTTCTAGAACTGGCCGACTAAGGTTGTGTTGATTGTTACATTTCTTAGTCCCTTTAACGGTAACTTTCCAAAAAACTAGCCCCTCCCGCTAGCCGCTAAATGGTCAATGTGTTTCCGCATCAACTGCCGCCCCTCAGCCAGCAGCCGGTCGCCCTTTCCGGTCACTTGCGATGGATGCGCTTTTAAAAATTCTGGTCCGGGAAAATGACCGGTTGCCGCGATAGGGAAATCTATGGAAAACTGGTTCCTCAAAAAAGTCACACATTTTACAAGGGTGATTGTTTTCGATTAAAAAGCGATGAACTAGAGATTTGTCGCAATCGATTTATGGATTCAGTTCAAAAGGCCAAAATCCCGATAGTCTCGATTAACCTTGCATCTAAACAGCCGATTTTGGGTCTCGGGGTCGCACTACTACGCTAGGCACGTTACGCTATTACACCACCCAACGTATGCTAGGCTATGTTGCGCAACACAACGCTACGCTACGCTACGTTGCGTTATGTAGCACTGCGTTGTGCTAGGTTACGTTACGTACAGTTACGCCACTGCATGCTATGCCAAGCGTAACGTTACGCTATGCTACGTTGTGTTACCGTACGCTACGTTACGTTACGTTACTTTACGCTACGTTACGTTCAAAGCTCCTAACAAACCTGCGCCTGAATGGTACCCTTGCCCGGGCATTTCGAGCACACTTCCGGGCACATCCTGGAAATGAAGTCAACTTGACAGTGCAGACATCTGGCCCGGCTGCAACTCGGCAAATCGGCCAACCCGACGCCTATCAAGGCAAATACCCAGAGTGCGGCGCGCATCGTTTGGTGCGCTCGGCCTGAAAGGGGTACGGTAACTGTCATAGTCTTTGAAATCAAGAGACATAAAAGGAAATGTATATAGTATGTATATGTACGTAGTAAAGAAGCGGAATGGGAGCCGGCCGGTGCGGACTAATAATAATTATAGGGTGACCAGCACGGGGGGGTGGGTCCGAATTTCGCTGACCACTGGGAGGGAGCAAGAAAACAAAGAAATAAATAAAAAGCTGGAATGGGCTTTATTTTTAGATTTTATTAATGCGCATGATGTAGTAAATTATCTACATTAAAATTTGTTACTAGCAAAATTCAAATTATATGAAAAACGCTAGATAGAAAATAGCAGAAAATTTTGAGCAAATCTTAATATTTGTGATTTTCCAAAAATAATGCAGAATAATGCAACACAGTTTTGAGATTTTTTTATTAAATTAATTAGAATTTCAAATTGTTCGACCGTCGTCAAAAATTTTTCGTATTTTCGCGATTTTGCAAATTCACGAGGAGGGGGTCAAGGACGTGAGTTTTTGAAGTTGGCTTGGCTTACGTTTGGGCTTCATCTTAGCTTAGATTTCGCCTCAAGTGTAGGCTTATGCTTAGCTTAGTGGTAAAACTTCAGATCCAGATTGAAATGTCATTGAGATTTGATGATCAAAAAAAACAGCTGACAATATTTTCGAAACGAGCTTCTTCTCGTGGCATGGGGCCTCCCCCGACTAAAAACAGGATTTAATAACCGGATCTAGCGGGCATTTTCGAGGGGAGGAGGAGGTGATGCAGATCCGGAGGAGGAGGAGAAAAAGGAGAGGAGGAGGAGAATCTCTAGCGAAAGGCATTCTTGGGGATCGAATCAAATGGATGGCGGTGGTTGAGGGGGGAGGTGGTGGTGGTGATGGTGGTGGAAGGAGGGGGAACGGGTTTCTGAAGCTTCAAGCCGACACACACACACACACAGAAGGACAGACAGACACATATCCCCCAACCCTGGCCGGGGGAGGAGGCTAACGGGCAGAAAGGGGAGGAGGACAGGACGAGTCACTACTATCCACGGCATCCAGGGTCGGCAGATTGTGATAAATACACAGTGGTAAGGCTGGATGAGGGTTCAAAGGGACGAAAGAGTAAAAAAAACGCTCCATTCGCATTAAAAAAGACGAAAATCGTTCCGCGTTACGCGGTCACAGGCGTTGCGCTTGCGCCCGACAAATTAACAGCGAATTCACATTAATGTCTTCAAGGGGCTGCCAAGTCAGGCCTATGGATTTTTCCATAACCGCGATACGCGACGCGCGCCTCGCACTCTCGGTTTAAATATACCATAATCCATTACGCAATGAAAAACCAACGCGCGCTGTGTGTCGCGGGAGCAAAAAAGGGATGACAAATTAAGGGACTCCCACTTCAAGGACCATTGAAGGCCACTGAGACACGCAACGCACACTCAACGCAGGTCTTGTTGCATTACGTAGCGAAACTTCGAAAGGCGCGTTGGGTGCCGCGGCCGCATTAAAAGAAAGCACTGCACTCCTACGGAACTAGAAAAGTAACGGAAAACGAGAAGCAATAAAAACAGTTGTCTTAATGATGCCTGGCTTCATATTCAAGGTGCTGCTCAAAAAGCTACATCCCCGATGGGATACCCGTCGAATCTCCCCCATAGCCCCCTCTGACCCGCCCCCCTCCACCCGCTAGCCAAAACGGGATGCGAAAAACGGATGGCTGCCATTGTGACACTTAACATAGCGGCCTCTTATACAGAAGCCGTCATCAGAAAGCTGGTTAAAAAACCCGATCGGCAATCCTTTAATGTTATAACGTCATCATCATAAAGTCAAGAAATAATCATTCGGAGACAGCTATTTATTAGAAATGATAGCATAAACCCCGACAAAACCAGCAGACGAAGAGATTATCGCAAGATTCAGGTTTTTTGGACCCAAGAAACGTATATGTAGCTCGAACGTAATAGTCATTCGGGTTAAAGTTTTATGGCTTCGAAAGGTCTTTGAAGACACAATGACAGCGGGGCCGAAGCGCGCAACGCTTTTCGTAACGCGTAACACACGTAAGCGCAACGCAGCCGTACGCGTCCGCAAAATCAGGCTGCTAATCGCTTAGACTTCCTGGCATTAGGCTTGGGCTTCGGCTATACTCAGGCACAGTCTTGGGCTAAGCTTTGATAAAATAAACCTGGAAAACCTGATGCTCATTGCCAGGAAAAGCACTCCCGAAAAAGCTCGCAACGGCACCAGCCTATAAAAACAAAATGGGCTTTGCCCTGCCCCCCCATATGGTGGATATCGAGGATCGGGCAACGGATCTGATGGCTATGGCAGCCTCCCCCAACCGGAATCTCAGGCAGCCGATCCAATAAGAACTTGCCGCGCCGCGCCTCCCGCTTTTGCCCCCCACCCACACCGATGCTTTTGGAGATTTTAGAAAAACAGGAAGGGGAAGACTACACTTTTCGGGAATTGGGAATTTAGAGAGTTTAATGAGGGTAATAAGAGAATTTAAGCCATAATCCTGACAACCAAAATCCCGACCGCCCTAATACCGACTGTCATAATCCGACAGCCAAAATGTGATATTTCCGGCCGTTTTACCCAAGGATGGTTTAAAAATCTGGGGTTTCTGGCTGTCGGGATGGTTGTCCGATTATAGCTGTCGGGATTTTGGATGTTGGACCAGGCTGTCGGGATTCTGAATGTCGGGATTTTGACGTTTTATCGACGGGTAGATACCGTAATCCTTGGCTTGCTGAAATGCGATCAATGGTAGAATCGCCGCGTATGGCAAAATCGATAGCCAAAAATTAGCTCATCATGCCGTACCGACCCCTTTAAAGCACCATATTCCAGGTTAAACTCGCTGATGAACGAACGCACCGGACTCGACTATATCAAGGCCATCATCCCGTGTCTCGATTATACCATTGACCTGAAACGTTCGAAGGCCCGGCTCGTACTCCAGAGAGCGTTGACGGCTACTTCTGAGGTGGGGTTTATTGAACTGACTGGTACTTTACGAGCTTAGGCTTCGGCTTGGGCTTAGGCTCAGGCTTAGGCTCTAAAAATGAATTTTAATTCTGGAAACCCTTTTGATCTCTAGATTTCCCGAAAATGGTGCACGCGCTTTCTGCTCGTGCTCGCCAATATTCCGGAGGTCGATTTCAGCAGTTGGGGCGTGAAACTGATGTTGGCACAGGTAGTACAAGTCACTTTTTTAAGTGGAATCATTTGTAGCTTGGGGATGCTTCGCCAAAAGTTGTCCGCCATGCCATCAGGATTATTCTACAGAATGCGCAGGTATGAAGTTTAAGAGCTCAAGGATGCTTTTATCAGGTTAGCTGGAAGGCTTAGCTTGGGCTTAGCTTGGGCTTAGTCTGGACTTAGCTTAGGCTTAGCTTAGGCTTTCTTTTTTTTGCTTAGTTTATGCTTAACTAAAGCTCGATCTAGAACTTTGGCCAAGCCCTCGGTCTCCTCCGCTCACCCCTACTCGACACCTTCGGTGATGCGGGAATACTCCTAAAAGCCGCCCTCGCCGGCCAAGAGTCCTTCTGCACCAATCGACAGGAGATGTGCACGCAGATTCGCTTCTGGTTGCAGGTACTGAATCGTCTTCCGCTTCTTACTTGTATTTCAGTCATTCTCACTACGGTACGCTGAGATGGTGGAGGAGGAGATGCGGATTGCGTTGCTCGGTGTTAGGCGGAATATTACTGGGGAATTCGCGCGGCCGACTTCTGATCGGTGGGTTAAAAATTTGAATCGACCAACGGCAATCTAGCAGAGATATTTTGGAAAATTTAGAAAGTCGTACTTCTATTAAAATTCAAGTTCTTTTAGCTTTGAACGCTACGGTGTCCGTGCGCAACCACATCTTTTTGGCGAATTGGCAGGGCATGATTTAGGTAAGATGATGCTCAAATAAATAAAAACAATTTATTATCCATATCACATTATTTTAGGCAAGGAACTCCTTCAAGGCGAAGCCGTGGTTGAGCAGCTACTCGAAGGGCTAACCGACGACACCGTGCTGGTCGTCAAGGCTTCATTGTTAGGCCTTGGTCACATCGGGTCCAGAGGTGTGTTTCGGACTCCACTTTTAAACCATATATTAGCACCCGAAATTCTACCCCTCGAAACCGTTCCTCTAATCGTCCGACTCGCCGAGCAATCCGAGGTGCTCTCCGTACGTGGCACTGCTCTTTACGCGCTGTGTATGATCGGCGGGGCGAAGGAGGGTAAGTACCATACAGTATATTGTAGAAGAAATCACGGTTACCTCAATTTCCTCCGATTTTAGGCGCTCGTTCGATCGCGAGACTCGGATGGGAGAGCACGAGGCATAAAAATGTGGTCAACGAGGTGAGAATTAGGCTAGGGCTTAGGCTTAGGCTCGTCTTGGCCTAGGCCCGGCTTGCTCTCAAGCTGGGGATTAGGCTTAGGCTTTGCTGGGCTTAGGCTTAGGCTTAGAGGGCAGGCTTGGACTCAAAGCTTCACGGCTAAGCTTGACTCAGTCAGCTTACAGCATTTTATTAAAATTTTCCAGGTACGATTCGAGGAGAAAACACCAGCTCCAAGGCCAACCATTAATTACGAGCCGACTACGGTAGGTTTGATGTCATTTGGAGCTTTTCGGATTTTTGAACATCCATTTAAGGCCTATTTCCAGTTTCGTGTCGAGCGGAGACCATCACTGCTCTACGTCGATTATTCCCCTTGTCCTTCTCCATCTCCATCAAGACCCAGATCTCGATCCCTGGCTTCCATCGACGGGACCGGGCCATTTTTTTCGAAAAAGCGGCAAAGTGCCCCGGCTTTTGCCATCGAGGCTGCGTTGGAGCCGAGGAGTTTGAGGTGGGAAAGAGAAAGCTAGCGAGAGAGCAAAAGAAAGAGAAAGAGAGAGGGAGTGAGAGAGAGAGAGAGAGAGCGAGCATGAGTGACAAAGTCAAAGTAAATGAGATCACGAGTAAATTTTAGCCCTGCCGGCTACCTATCCCCTCGAGGAGATCGATCGCTAACAATCGAAAGTATGGCAGGACATCACGGGTCCTCGAATTGTGAAGATAGAAGGCATAGGGCCCTCTCGAGAGCAACACTCGAAGAAGGGGACGATCTCCTCAGTCGGTAGTTTACTTACTAGTGAGCCCTTTAAACCGCGTAACTGGTTCAGAACCTCGACGATTATCACCGCCTGCAGTCATCTACAGCCGAAAAGCAAGCTTGAGCAGGAGATGGAGCGATTGGTGTGTAAAAGAGAGGGTTTAAAGGGCTTGGGAAGTGTGAGAAACTACCTATCCCGATGATTGGGTCGCGACAACTACGCGCTACGTCAAATGACGCCTGTATTGCGGTCATTTCAAATACTCAATTTTTTTTGTACGTGCCATACAGCTTCTAAAATTGCTGCTCGGACCTGGCCGCGGTTAGACATCAATTTTTGAGATTTTCCCCCTTTTGCCCCTGATCACAGGCTTTTTCTCTTCAACCGGGAACAAGAGAAATTTTTTCAGCTTCTCGCAGCCCCGCAGAGCGACCACTTTTCTTGTCGAGCTCGAGCCAGATGGCGACTGCGAGCCCCCCGGCTCCGCCAATGCATCCAGGTCTTCAAGACAGTCGGCCATCCCGTACGCTACAATCTGATGACCCGGGAACAGGTACGGTAAAAATTTGGGGTTCGCCACTTTTGAATTTTTCTAAATTTCTCAAAGGCACTTTCTCGTTCAGCTCTTCGAATTGGGCCACTTTGAAGCGGAAGCGTTTGGGGATGATTGTGTCCAAAAGGTATGGAGTATTCTATGGGTTACGATAATAAGGGCAATTTTTAGGAGTTAGAACTATGCTTCGAGGATCCGCCACCGACCTACAGCCCTTTGCCTTTTATTTCTTTGCCAGTGGAAGTCGATCTGATCGCTAGGGTGAGGTTTTGAAGGCTTTGTACTGTAGCGTATCGTAATGTACTTCATGTGTAACCTAGTGTACCGTTGCGTATGAGGGCCAATGTACTGCAGCGTACTGAGCCTTACTGTATCTTAGGATTAGTTACTGTAGCGTACAATGCCAGTGTGGATTCGCTTCTGGAAACCACCGTAATTTACTGTTGCGCGCCGTCATGTTTTGTAGCGTACCATCTCATTCCGTTACGTTCTGTGTTGTGATGCTCAGTAACGTACTGCTGCGTAAATGAAGCGTACGGTAAGGTAAGGTACCGTCCAATACGCCTGCGCGATACGCGACTATCGGGATACGCTGTACTATTCCATAGCCTACCGTACTTGCTCCAAAAAAGACATCAAAAAAACTTAGACGAACTCCTCAATTTAGAACATCTTCAACTTCAACCTCGAAATCCTGGACGACACCGTGGAGGATCGTGGCGCCAAAAGTGGCTACGGCAGGGTAATCTGCACGCAATTGCACGTGATAATCAAACTTTTCAGCTCCGACTTGATCAAGTGAAAGGCCACGACCGGCTCCGCTGCTTCTACTGCTCAATCCCGGAGTCGAAAAGTATAAAAATCATCCACAAAATGACTAAAAATCCTTCAGAACCTCCCTTCCAACCGGGACCCGACTCGGCAGCGCTTCGACTCGAAGTTCTGCAACTTATCGATTTTCTGGAGGTGAAACGGGTCGTGCCGGAAAATAAACTTCTCAAGTGGGTCACTGTAGACTTGGACAAAATATTAAAAAATTAAGCTTGAGAAAACAGCACTCCTGGCTGTTCACTTGGCCCTGTTTGTATGCGGATGTTTTGGAGATGTTGGATCAATACAGGTTTAAGGTATGAAAAAAATTATAAGAGGTTGAGGCTTAGGCGTAGCTTAGGATTCGGCTTAGGCTTCGCTTCGGATTAGCTTAGGCTTAGTTTAGGCTTAGCTTAGGCTTAACTTCGACTTGGTGTTAGCATACTCCTTTTCAGGTCCGCTCACGGGTATTCCTGCAAGAAATCTTCTACGAGGCCATGAAATTGTTGCGCTAAAAGCTCTAATAAATTCATATACATTTTTCTCCATTTTTTGGCATACTACTGCATCAACTTTATTCATTTGCCGCCCAGCTTCCACATCGTCACCTTGATCCAGGGCCAAAAGGCGGAGATCTTTGAGTAGACGCCCGGGCGCCCCGGTCGGCCACAGCCAATTCCCCAGCTTACTAGGCCCTGTAAAGGCATTAAAAATGCAGTGTTTTTGGGAAATCGATACCTTTTCTTTAAAGTGTTCGTTAACGTAAGCTTTTACAGGAGGGTTACGAAAGTTACGAAATAGATTTCCATACCTGAAGCTCCCATTTTCCCTGCCGCAAGCACATCAGCGGACCGCCAGAATCGCCCTGAAAATGGGTTTTGTAGGGATGAGGAGGGCGAGAATCGGTGATACAATGCGATAGAAACAGAGAGTGAGCAAGAGAGCGAGAGATATATGGAGAGAGCGAGAGAGAGAGAGGGAGGGAGAACTTACCTGACAAGAGTCAATGGCCCCCTGGCTGTACCCAGCGCAAAACATGGACGGCGAGTGCACCAATCCCCCATAGTGGGCCATATTGTTGCAAACATTCGCGGGGAGTACGGGGACGTGGATCTCCTGGAGTACCTGGGAGCGAGTCCCGTTTTCTTGGGTTAGGCCCCAGCCTAAATTTTTAGTTGCAAAGAGCGGTATTAGGCTTAGATTTCGGCTTGGCTTAGGCGTAGCTTAGGCTTAGACTTGGGCTTAGCTTGGGCTTGGCCTTAAGATTGGGCTCAGGCTTACCGGCAACAGCACAGACTTGAAAAGGCGGCGGTGCCAATGTCGGGATACAAACCGGACTCGCCTTTTCCGACAGCTTCACCGGCGGAGTGATTCTGTAACCAGCAGCCTGGTGGAAAACAAGAAACATTACTTCAACACCGCCACATCCCACGAGCTTGGCCAGACGAGGTTAAAGGTTGGGTGGACGGCGAGCGCCTCGACCTATCAAGTCTTTTCCAGGCTCACATGCTAGGCTTAGGCTTAGGCTTAGCTTAGACGTGGTCTCGGGCTTCGGCTTCGGCTTGGATTAGGGCCGTACCGTACGGAACTACGTCAACTCTAAAGATACCCTAAAAAACTCACCCGATGATACTGGCCGCTTCCGGTCTGATGCGAGCCCACGATCACCGCATAATTCTTTGCAATCCGACTGAATTTATATAGTTTTAAGGGGTCAAATATTATTTCTGATCCCATAAAACCGCATGGAATTTTACGGGGTACTATCTTATCGGAGTACGATTCAAAAAATGAAGTTTTTGCTACCTGGCATGGAGACAATGCGCCGCCGTCAGCACCAAATCTTCCGAAATCAGCGCCCCGCCGCATTTTGATGAGTTTCTGATAAGAATTAATTGTTTTCTAAAAATTATGAAAGTTTTGATACCTAAAGAATAGCTCAACAACCCAGGGCCACGAATGGGCGACCGTTGGCTGGCCGCCGACGATACGGTGCTCGGGGAACTAAATAAAAATTTTTGATGAGGTACGTACTACTCTAGCTTAAATCTTATATCAAATCTTAACATGTGGGTTTTACAGTCCAGCAAAAAAGCACTAAAGATATAATGTCCGAGTTTAACCGACCACGAAACTCCTCGGCGAATTCTCGTCAAAAATCTGGTTCTGAACCGTTGAGACGCCGCATGGCGAATCGGCGGCCAGAACTTTAAAAATAATACTTTAACATCTAATTATACTTAAAGTATACCTATCCCCAAACAAATAGGAATCAATACTCGCAAAGCCGCCATTTGATTCAGATTTTCCGGCGAGCGGGCTCTGTTTTAAAAATAATGCCGTGAAAGCTGGATGACGCATGCCTGAATCGTTTGCATCAACGTTTTCCGAGAACAAAACATCGAGATGCTGTTCTGGTGCCTGTTTTGTAATCTTTAAAACTTATTTGTGGCTTACACACAAAGGTGCAGAATCTAATGCCCAGAAAATAATTTACTGGCTATTTTATGGTTTTATGGTTTTACTGGCTATCTTATTACAGGGTCTATACTCGGCAAAACTACGCCTAATTAAAGGAAACGAGCTATTTTTATTTTTCCGAGCTGAAAAGCTTCGTTTTGCGCCTTTTTCCGGCCGGCCTGTTGGCTTCCTTTTGCTGTTTTGTGGATCCGACCCCCGCCCACCGTACCCGCCAGGCGATTACCCCTCCAAATTCCCTCGAGGGCCGCCCGGCTAACAAAGTGACTGGCTTGTTCGACTCGTATAACCAAAAATACCGAAAAATCTTGGTCTAAATGCTGTCACTGGAAACCCAACAGGTATATTAACATTGTGTTCCTTCAATTCCGTTGATTTTCTAGAAACTAGACGATGAGGAGCGAAACGAAGAAGAAATTTATGAAAACTTGATATTTTGGGTGAGTTTACGGCTTTTTGGTGATATTAACTGATGCATAATGGCCACCGAGTAGTGCTGCAAAAGCGAGTAACTTCCGATTTTTAGATGAGAACCGTTCATACCGAAGAAGACGTTGACTGGAATGTTGATGCCCTCGCAACCGGGCGCACGATTGCTGAATTTTTAAACAAAATGTGCGTTAGATTTTAAGGAGGATTGTTGAGTATCGTTTTAGAGACCCAAAATTTTTCTCAAAGGATGGCTTCCTGGAGAAAATCTCTTCGTTTACGCGGGCGGATTCTGCATTTGGGGTCAAGGAGGTTTCGCTGCGAAAGGTGAGGAAAAGCCATCAAAGAGAGCAAACCAAAAAAAAATATAATGATTGTATAGTTTTTAGCTACAGGTCGCGAGAACTAATGTTCAGACCGAAACCCTCTTGTAGATTCGCATGAGGCTCACCGAATATTACGAAACAATCATCCGCCGAAATCTGGAACCGCTCGCAGATTTAACGGAGATCTCACGCGATTTTAGTAAGTCAATCAAGAAAAAACAACAGAACAAATTTCAGTCCGCGGTGATGTGGGCGCGGCTGTGATTTTCCTATCAACAGCGATCGCTGCAGCGTTTTTGGGGCCTCATCGTGAAGGTAGGCGAAAAAGTGACAGCGAAGAATGATAAAATTGCAGTATACATCAATGGGCTGGCGGCAGTCCCGAATAACGTGATGAAGACGCTCGCCGAGCAGATTCAGAGGATTCAGGATAGGACGCCGGCGCTATCACCGCCAAATTCGGTATGTCGAAATGCGTAGGGTTTAGCCATAGTCAAATTTTCAGCCCAGTACCTCGAAGGAGGTAGAAGCCGAGCCGGAGCCGCATGACGATACTTTGGAGCCGGATGAGGAGATAAAGAGGCAGGCCGAGAAGATTGAGAAACTGAACGAAAGGGTAAGCTAGTTGAAAAACTACCACATTTTCGCTTTTTAAAAATCTTTTCCATGGATTTCCGGTTTAAAACTTATATTAAGGTCAAACGCCTCATCGGGGATAAGGAACGTCTCGAAGGCGAGGTCACCGGGCTCAAAGAACGGCTTCACGATGATGAAGCCGGACCCCGAAGCTCTGCACTTGCCGAGCAAAATCAAGAACTACGGGTGAGTCTAAAAATTATTTTTTCATATATTCAATTTACAGCTTAAAGTCGGCGTCCTGATGGACGACCTGACGGTGGCCGAGCTGGAGAAGGGGCAGCTGAAAGAGAATGAGCGCCAGATGGCTGATAAGCACCGCAAAATGGAGGAGCGGGTGAGTGCGTGGGGAGCATGGCTATTTCTCTCGTTTCTCTCACGCCGGGGCGGCCTGTAATATCAATCACCACTTTTCGCGGTGCCCCACCTCTGAACAAAATGTTTGGTTTTTAGAGCTTTTTATTGTCTATTTATCTTTTTATTGCTGGTTTAGTATTAATTTCTATTTTTATTATTTCAGCTCCGCGAAATGCAGGGCGAGGTGGACAATGTGCAACAATTGCGCGATGAAATACAGGTAAAATTTAGTACTTTCTCAGAAAAAAAAAACTTTTTTCTTCTAGGTCCTAAAAGAATTCGAGCGGAAGTGCGAGAAAAACGAGTCCCAGATCCACCAGCTCAAGTCAAAGCTCGACCAGCGGGAAGGGCTGATGTCAGATGTAGGTATTTTTCGGTTTTGCTAGTATTTTATTGCTTTTGTTTTTGTTTACTTTACTTTTATTTACCTTTTCATACTCACATTATTACTTCTTTATAGAACAAACTTCTAAACGAACGCCTGCAGACCTACATGAACGCCCAGATGGACTTTGAGGATATGCAGAAGCGGAATCAGGTATTTTCGTCGCTCGCAAATTTTAAAAAAAAACCCAATTAGGCCCTACAACAACAATTGGCCATGGCCAAGGGCGAGCTCGACGCCAAGGAGAAAGCGCACAGGGAATTGACACTGAAGATTGACAAGGTTGAGACTTTTTTAATTCTGTTTTAGGTTAATTTAGCTCGACTACGAGCTGGGCGTGGTCCAGGAGCGCAAAATAGCGCTTGAGGAGGAGAATCGACGAATTCGGAAGGAAAAAGATACATTGGAAGAAGACATGATCCGTCATAATGGTAAGGGAACCACGGCGGATTTTCCAAAAACGTTTCAGCATCGATGGGCAGTCAATTCGATGAGAGTACCAATAGCCTCCACGACGCGATGGCTTCGGCTATGGCCACCGAGGGACCGAGTGATGCAAATGAGCGCGTTTCGTGAGTTTTTTTTTAATATATTTTTTATACTTTTGAAAGGAAAAATTCTTTTTTCCCTAATTGGCAAAAATCGTTTCAGGATGCTAGAAAAGATGATGAGGCTGGAAATCGAAAACAGTCGCCTGAAAGAGAAGACGGTGTCGGCGGAAAGCGCAGAAGAGCTGAAGTAAGTATCACAATCACAAACATCTAAAAAAAGGCGATTTCAGGTCTCAAACGGAATCGCTCAAGCGTACGATCGTTGAGCTGACCTCAGATCTTCGGATTTCAAACTTGAAAAATAGCGAGTTGCAGGTTTGTCGGTTTAAAAATTAGATAAAACGAAGTAACGAGAGAAATAAAGAAAAGAATAAATTTTAGACAAAACTCGACACCCTTGAAAGAGATCAATGTGACCAAGGTGCGCTCAATGGATCGGATCGCGAGAGAAGAGTGGCTGCCGAGAAAATGGACATCGAAATGGCCAAGCTGCGTGATAGGGTATAGAATAATTTCTGGTCACAATTTACATGAAACTTTCTAGGCTGTAAAAGCAGAAGCCGCTCTAACGTCCTTCACAGAAAAGGGCGGTCAGGAATCTGATGTGTTGACGAAGAGGGCGGTCGAGGCAGAAGCACAGGCATGGAAAGAGCCGTAGTTTTGACCTTTTTCTAGCTCGAACACACAAAGCGGATGATGAACGAGTACTTGGAGAAGGCGAAGCTCGTCATCGCCGACCAGGAATCCCGCAGTCAGGCCATTGATGCCTGCGGGCTGTCTCGACATGAATTTGACTCGTTACGCCGCGAAATTGAGCAAAAGGAGAAGCGGTAAGGCTATTTTAATCCTCGATAAAATTTAAGTTATATTAAAAGAAATATAACCAAATTTTTTTGCTTCAGAATCCGCTTCCTTGAGACGAGAGCCGAGCAGATGTCGATGATGCACGAACAAGAGTGTCGACTGATGACGACAGCTTGGCATAAAACGGTAAAAATTTTTATTTGAATTACGGTAACCATGTCATTTTTAGGCCAGTGACCTCATCGCTTTCCAACGAGGCACCGATTCGCTGACGGACAGCTCGCGAGAACGCGGCTTTTTGTCGCAGCACCGAGATCCACACCTTCATTTTAGGTATGGGTTTTTGAACATCGCAAAACTTGTTTTAGAAAGTGCTTTAGCAATTTTTAACCTTATTTTTCAGGGAACCCGACTATCCACACGCAAACTATCATCACGGTGCTTTTGATGGGATGTAAAATACTTTATCATCTGATTTGCGAATTTGTATAAACTCGACCATAATAATATTCACTTATGACCCTTTGTACAAACCTTGTGATTCGTGCAATGAGCTGGTGATGATAATAATAAATATTTATTTCCATTTTTTCAATCGAAATATTTGAGAATTTGGCAAAGCAACGAGCAATATCTATCTTCCAAGTTTTGACAATTTCTTGAATAACTGAATTTTTCATTATTCAGGCTATGCGATGCTTGGTACGGTAGCGTGGCGTCGATTTAGCCGAGAGGCACGTGCTCGTTTTCTTGAGGTGAAGCTTTTGTCAAAAAAAAAACTAAATTTATTTTTAGTTGTCTACAAAATCGGAAGCAAAGCCACACGTGCCATCGGCAGAGACTAGTGAAACTATCAGTAAGATTTTTACCGATTCGGCCAAGGTTCAAAAAATCATTATAAATTTATTGTTTTTAGAAGAGCTAACCGATGAAGTTCCACCACCTCGGCCAGCAAATAAGCCCATTTCGAAAGGCAGCAGCGCCGTGTTGATTCCGCTAGTTTCGAGGGCTGACCATGGGGATTCGGTACTTTTCACAAAACGGTGAGTTTGTGGATTTCTATATTTCTCTCTCTCTCTCTCTCTCTCTCTCTCTCTCTCTGTCTCTCTCTCCAAATTCCATTTTCTAGCTCATTGCTTCTGAAAGATCATCGCGGGGAGATATGCTTCCCAGGAGGGCGCGTGGAAAATGACGAATCACTTGAGGAAGCGGCTACCCGAGAGCTTGAAGAAGAGGTTAGCAATTTGCAGTTTTTAGAACCATATTCCCTCAGATCGGAATCCGGGCATCGCTGATCGACATTTGGGGCCAAATGCATTCGGTGCCAACGCGACAAAACGGCCGCCCGGTGACCCCAATCGTCGGGGAGATCCGAGAAGATCACCTCAGCTCCATAAAGCCCAATCATGATGAGGTAAATTTTTGAAGGCAAATGTAGAAAATCCGATTGTGTACATTAAATTCATTTCCAGGTTGATTCTGTCTTCACCGTACCCATCGACGAGCTGGTCCGCTCGACAGAATATACCGTATTCTCGCACAACAAGGTCCTCTACACGATGCCGATTTTTCGAGTACGGAAATATGCGGTAAGTTGTTAGCGTTTTCCCCGATGAAACTCTGCTCGTTTGCCTTGTTTCAGCGAAAGAGAGAGAGAGAGAGAGAGAGAGAGAGAGAGAGAGCGCGAGAGATCGTGAACGAGATAAAACCCCACTATAAATCGCGGATTACTTCAGATTTTTGGTGGAATTTTGGGTTAGAAACCCAATCTTTTCAATTGCAGGTACTAGCCAAAACTCAAGATTCTCGACTCGTAGAAGGGCGTGAAGTTCGTGTCTGGGGCCTGACCTCCGTGATGCTCCACTTCTTCCTCCTCCACATGTTTCCGGGCCAATATTCCAACCGTTTAGCACCCGCAAACTTTTTCCGCGTCCGCCGATTGTGATGATTACGATTCTTTTATCCAAATTTCTGTTCCTTAGAAAGATCCTGAAATTCCTAAGGAATCACCGCTAGCTTGCCCGTGTAGTCGCGATGTAGTTACCTGCCTTAGAGAATCACTTTTCAGTGCCTTTGTACAGAAAAATTTTATTATAACCTTTATCAAATTTCTAATATATGTTTATTAGCACCGAATAAATGTATTTCTATCACAAAATGGCGACCATATCGATGTTTGGGAAAATCACAGGGTTTTGGGCGGATAAGCTGGTGGGGTTTTGGTCAAGGCACGGCTTTTTAAAGGCTTATTGAAGGCAGGGAAGTAATAGAATTTTTTAGGGCAAACAAATTGAACAAATTGCATTAAAAAGGTTATTGCTACAATGCGAAAAAAACGCAGCTTTAGAATGTTTAGAAAAAAGCACACAATTATATTTTTATGGGTAGAAATTCCTTATAAAAATGTAAAGGTCCTAAAACAATAAAAACGACTTTGAAATCTATATTTTAAGAAGCTCCTTTAAGAACAATTTGAAAAACGCTGGAATCTATTTTTATAGGCCTTTTTGAACGATTTGAACTGCTTACCGGTATTTTCGGGGGGATTGATGGCTAGTTGGTGGGCGGGCTACGGTAAGCCAAGCTCTTAAATGGTTTCTTCTTGCCGTAGCTGAATATAGCCCTCGTTCAGCTCGCTGTCCTGCATCTCGGCGGCGAGCGGGTTGTCAAAGTCTAGCACATCGTAGTTCTCGCGAAGTGGGTCCGGGCGAATTACGCTGGAATTTTGAGGTTTTGAGGTTGGTGCTTAGGCTTAGGCGTACACTAGGCTTTATTTAGGCTTTGTAAGCCAAAATTACTCACTTTTCGATTCGCAACACCAGAATTGCCGTGAAAAAGTAGCCGAACGCCGTCAGGACCTCGACTAAAAGTTTTTGGGATTTTTAAAGCTTTTTTGGCGTACCGAAATGGTGCAGCTTCCAGATGACGTTCAAATCCTCGCCGGTTCCACGGTAGTCGAGCTGGGTGACGATCTAAAAAGTTGCGTTGAGGTAAATTGAATGGTTTTAAGCCTACGTTGAAAAATTGAATGGCGGAGAGGATTAGCAGCGCATGGCGGGCTACTGGAACTTCGTGGATCACCTCGGAGACGCAGATCTGAAGGGTAAATGTTTAGGATTGGAAGAATTTCTCTCTCTCTCTCTCTCTCTCTCTCTCTCTCTCTCTCTCGCTAACGAACCTGATACAACGGGAATACGATAAGCGAAAATGCGACGGCGATATGGTAAAGCTGCAGATAGATGACGATCAATGGATGCATGGCGGTGCTCGAGAAGACAAAGCTCAGGATCGAGCTGCCGATCACGACCAACGCAGCCGACGCGTGCACTACGCCGATCCACTAAACTAGCTTATATAGCTTAATGTAATTATGCTAACTTGTAAAGGTACGTTTATCACCTTCTGACAGTTCTGATGAAATCAGGAAGCCAGAATTATTTTTGAAAGTACATTTTTCTTACAAGTCTAATAAAATAAAAAACGCCACCAACCCTGATCAACGCCTGCGACTTTGCGGTCCTGTAGTGGACGTCAGTGTTCGACACTTCTCTACGGAGATGCGCCACCCTGAATCGAGATACGGGATTACGGTATTTAGAAGATAAAAGAACTGATTAAATGCAACTGTAATATATAAAAAAACCTCATGACGATCGCGGCCAGGAAAATCGAGGCAACGGCGGCGGCGAGGTGGATGAACGCCTCGAACATGTGCAGAAAGACACCGCCTGCAAGGAATGAGATTAGGCTTAGGCTTAGGCTTAGGCATAGGCTTTGGCTTTGGCCTAATTAAGCTACGGTTTATTCGGCTTTTTCAGGATATTAGCTTTCTTAAGCTTTTGCTAGTCTTGGGTTCAAACGTAAGCGTCGAAAAATCACCTGTAGTAACAGTCGCAAAGCAATCATCCGTATTCGTCACGAACAAATCGCATAGCTGCTCCCGGAAGTACCTAAAATACGACCCATAAATGGCATATAATTCATCCGCTTACCCCTTAAAAACCAAATAACTATACGATAACAGCAGGAAGAGCGTGCTTTTTGCCGTATATAACAGGACGACCAGACTAAAGCAAAAAAGTTTTATAAAACATGAAAAATTAGCATACCAAGCCGGTAGGGCCAGTGTGGCATGCTGGGGATTTGATGAGAGAAGCGCGAAAATCGAGGCCAGCATCAGCAAGAAGGGCGTCTTCTGCTCGGAACCGTGGAACACTTTGTAGAAGATCTAAATCATGGTTTTTTTTATTTTGAAAAGAGCTTTAAAGCTCGGGAATGAGGGCGTTTAATAGAAATAGTACCTTCTCCCCCAACGCGTACAAGTCGAGGCCGAAGATGGCCAAGCACAGGCCGGCAAAAACCAAGCCGCAGATGAGGAAAACCCGGGTGAAGCTCGCTGGTTGGGTGGAACGGAGTCGGCCGGAGATCTGCAGGAGGTATTTTTGGCTTCATAGGCTTAGTTTTTGCTTCGCTTAGGCTTAGCTTAGGCTTAGCTTAGGCTTAGGCTTAGGCTTAGGCTTAGGCTTAGGCTAGGCTTAGGCTTAGGCTTAGGCTTAGGCTTAGGCTTAGGCTTAGGCTTAGGGCTTAGGCTTAGGCTTAGGCTTAGGCTTAGGCTTGGAGGCTTAGGCTTAGGCTTAGGCTTAGGCTTAGGCTTAGGCTTGGCAGGCTTAGGCTTAGGCTTAGGCTTAGGCTTAGGCTTAGGCTTAGGCTTAGGCTTAGGCTTAGGCTTAGGCTTAGGCTTAGGCTTAGGCTTAGGCTTAGGCTTAGGCTTAGGCTTAGGCTTAGGCTTAGGCTTAGACTTAGGCTTATGCTTCGGCTTAGGCTTAGTCTTAGGCTTAGGCTTAAGCTTAGCTTAGGCTTAGCTTAGGCTTAGCTTAGGCATAGCTTAGGCTTAGCTTAGGCTTAGCTCAGGCTTAGCTTAGGCTTAGCTTAGGCTTAGCTTAGGCTTAGCTTAAGCTTATACGAGGCTCAAACCCACCTGCTCGAAGAGGAACAACATGCTGCCGATGAGCAACCCGATATGAGAAAGGCCGCAAATAAATGAAAAATGCAGCGGTACGGTAGGAATTATTGGGGTAGTAGCGTTGCCGGACTCTTGCTAAACAATATTTTTTGAAACTTACAAAGCATGAAAACAAGTAAAATCTTGAAAAATGCGCTAGCTAACCTCGTGCAAAAATATGACGCTGGTGTACCATCTGTAGTCGCCCCACAGGTAGAAGATGGCCGGCATGATGCAGAGCGACGTCAGCGCCAAGCTCAGTACTCGGGTGAGGTGAGTGCCTCGCGAAGCCACGATGCATACTGCGCCGCACGTCATCGCCAAGGCCAACCACACCGGCTCGTCGATTGTATAGTTGAAAAACAGATGGCGAGTCTGAAAATGATATCATAGTTAGTGAAAAATAACGAATAATAAGAGGTGAAAAGAGTCAAAGGTAAATACTACATTTTTGTTCAAGCCCTAGGCCAAAAACCCACCGATTTATCGCTGATCCTCAACTTCCACATCTCGTACAGGTAGCCGGCGAGCCGCAGCCCGGCCATGACCACCTGGGCCGTGCCAAGACCCAGTAACCGTAGGCACTAAAAGTCCAATTCTTGGAGATTTCAAGGCTCGTAATACCCGATTTTCATAAACACGATCTCCTTGAACAAGACCGGTGATGGATACGAGGTTGAATGGGATGGCCGTCATCGCCAAGACGAGATCCACCCCGCTGTAGGCCAACATTCGAGAGCCCTTGGAGCGTTGAAGCTAAATTTGGCGTTATATAGGCTTAGGCTTAGGATTTATGCTCATGACCATGCACCCTTTGCATGGTCCCTGACCCCCCCCACTTGCCCCCAACCTGGCCCACTGCCCTGCCAGATCATCCCCCAACTTTCCCCTCTGTTACCTCTGGTTCGTGTGCATTTGACCGAGAAAATCTTTCGCCTTTTACTAAAGATTTCCGTGCACACGAACAATTATGAGTATTACACAATTTTTGGAGCCCCCTCGCGAGGAGGGCAAAATCGGATTTAGCAAGTTTTAGTGTTATCCGGTTTAGCGCATTTTTATTATCTGGCCTTGTCTTTTCTAAAAGTTTCCCCCGGCCTTCTCACCACTTCCTCTTTCCGCATTCCGGACCCAATCTCCCGAGAGTCATCTTCTCGGTAAATAAAATCTCGACAAGCAAGCCCGATAAAAAATATCGACAGCCATGACTCATACGTTAAGCTTTTTCTTTTTTTTTGCTCCGTTGTCTCTACCATATTTATATTTTTTACTTCAATGTTTTATCGATTGTCGTAATTTCTAA